CACCCCCTGGGGGTTATGGGGGGAGAGGGGAAAAAATCCCAGCCGCTGCCACCCACGCATCTCTGCAGCTTTCCTGAGAGGAAGCTGTGCCTGGGTGGTAGGTCTGGTCAAACCATCTGCCACCACCTTGCCAGCTGTCATGCATGGTCCTCCAGCGTGGTGTTTTTACAGGGGCCATGATTAGAGGTGAGGTACACTCAGCCCTTCAGCTCAAACCTTCCCTTTGCTTTGGCCGTGGGAATTTGCACTCATCCTTTTTTGCTCTGGCACAGTTTCTCCTGATCTGCACTCTGCCAAAGGGCTAGCTTGCGCTTTCTGGCCCACGCATCTCTGCAGCTTTCCTGAGAGGAAGCTGTGCCTGGGTGGTAGGTCTGGTCAAACCATCTGCCACCACCTTGCCAGCTGTCATGCATGGTCCTCCAGCTCTGGGTGGTGTTTTTACAGGGGCCATGATTAGAGGTGAGGTACACTCAGCCCTTCAGCTCAAACCTTCCCTTTGATCCAGCCGTGGGAATTTGCACTCATCCTTTTTTGCTCTGGCACAGTTTCTCCTGATCTGCACTCTGCCAAAGGGCTAGCTTGCGCTTTCTGGGTGGGACTCATCAAATCAGAAAAGGACATCTGTGCTACTCACTTACACTCTTTTTATTGTCATTGTAGAATTGATTGATCCACTCAGTGAAAAGGAGAGCATAACTCATCTTCTCCCAAAGAAGACGAACTAAAACAAGTCAAATCACACCCTAGAAATGTCCTTTCTCTTCTACTGCCATAAAGCAAATGTGGGGTCACTGACACATCTCGATATCTACATCTAAGTGTGACTAAGATGAATTCTTCCCCAAGAGCAATCCATCATAGTGATTTAAATATGAGTTGCCAGCAGCTCTGACCTTATTTCACCCACACTGGCTATTGATGCCTGAATAAACTCAATATGCAACTAGATTCAGTCAAATTCTCAAAGCTTGATATAATTAGACACACTGGGCATAAGGCTGCTGCTGACAATGCATCTGTATGAAAGTGTTCCCTGATGGGTGTTTATTTCTAATTAAACTAAGGTAAATGGATTTGGGATAGGACCCAATCTAGATGTTTATAATCTACATGTCAAAGATGTGTTTGGACCCCTCCATGCGTTACGAAAGGGAAGAGCATTGCTGTTCTTCTGGGGGTTCCTTTATTGCATTCTGTAAATGCTTCCTTCCAGACAGCCTCCTGGCTGCCATTTACGTAACTATTTCATTAATTGGATTTCATTCAAGGTAAATCATGATTGAGAATTGCAAACAAAGTGGTAATCCCCTGAATGAGCTAGTTCAGATAAGGACTGAATGGGGCAGACACAAAAATAGTGGTCTGACTTTCAACAATTGCAGGATTAGTGTCAAGTCCTGCCTTCCAAGTCCACCAGATGTTTTCTGGTTCTTCCTTCTCCTGAGCCAGAAGATGCTCAGAAACACTCTGATAGGGAGAGATAGGCAGGACACTGGTAGGAAATATGAGTTTTGGGCTGTCTGTATCTGCTCTTTAGACCCTCATTGTGTCCTGTCAGTGCTAGAGCTCCTTGTGTTGCTCAGAGTATCTGGAGACAGAAAAGCATCTGGGAGCTGTCCACTGTGGCCTGGGTGGAATAAAGAGGTCGGTGTTCTCATGCTCTGCCATGTCACAGCCGTCCTGGCTGAAGAGCTGGGGAGTTACAACAGCTCCACCCTTTACAAAAATCCCAAGTAGATGATGAAGGGATGTGTCACATTGCATTTCACCTTGAAACAAGGAAACAGGGAGTGGTGGTTCTCACTATGTCTTTGTTCTGATTGGCTGTTTTGCTACCAAGGAACAAAATATGGTACTAAACAATAAGAGGCGGTCAGCTTCATAAGGAAAACCTGACCCAAAATGCATGGGGTTGTGCGTGTGTTGGGGAGAGGGAAGGGTCATATATGTTCACAGAGGAATGCTTCCAAGGGTGTGCATTCATGTACTGTTAGGCCTGTCCCAAGCGTATGTTTTGCCTGTATGCATTTACATGTTTATGCATACCAAAATATGGTTTCTCTTTGTTTATGTATTCACCATAAGGGCAATCTGCCAGTCTTCCTGCACTGCAGGAATGTCCCCATCGCCAGAGACCTCCACCCTGTTGGTTTTCCATGAGAGGCAGGTATAAATTCACATTGTTGACCTGTGCCTGCTCATTCAGAAGCTTGGACCTCACATTCTGACATTGTGTTTCCTTCTTTTGCATTTGAGCTCAGCAGTAGCCTGTTGGCATCTTGTAGCATTTTTGGAGTTCAGAGCTGCTAGACAGCAGTGCCACATAAAAATAGGGAGTGGGACAACCCTAAAACTTAGGAAACAAGAGGAAATATGAAGTGATGAGAAAACAAGAGACAGATAGTGTCAGAGCAAGGTCCAGAGAGTTGTCCAATATAGTACATCAGTGGTTATTAGAGGATGCTTTAGGAAAAGGTACAAGAACCAGGCAAAACTTCTCCGAAACACTCTCCTAAACCTTAAGCAGAGACTTCCTAAGCTAAGTATTTTGGTACATTTTGTACTGTAGAGAAATGGATTTCTTTTCCAGGAAATGGTCCCGTGACCCTTTACACACATGTAGACTGTGAACACCCACAGTATCCCATGACCAGCTTTCCACATTTCAGCTCTAAGAGCAAAGAACCTCTTCCTTCACTTTCCTTTGAGCCTGATTCATGCCAGCTTCACTTGATACCCCCTAGTTCTTCTGCTGGAAAAGACTATGGATAGTAGATCCCTATTTGTCTACAGATAAAACCCTTTCAGTGAAGTAGCCTAGGATTTGCCATGGTGCTACCATAATCATCTCTGGAGAGGGCATCAGCAGTGGGGAGTCATTTAGGATAGAGGAAGGACACTACAGCGGGAACACAGGAGCAGCAGAAGAATGGACAAAGGGCATCTACAGCCTCGTGGTGAGGGCAGAGGTCTTAAAGGTGGGGCTGGTGAATAGGGAAGGTGGAGGAGGAAAGAACAAGAATCTACAGGCTCTATAAAATTATTTTCTTGGAGTTATGAGTGAGTTTCTTTCATGGACCTCACAAACACCCAGAACTATGAGACAGAGACTAAACCAGTGCTCTTCTTACTTACATCAGTTTTCTGTTTTTATCTGGCTGTTATTCTTTGTCTCTTTCAGGTTGAATTCACCCCTGACCAGATTGAAGGTGAGGAAGATGTGTTTCTCTTCTGTGCACAGTAAATACTGTCACTGGGAGGCTCTGGGAAGTGCTGGGGTGAACATGGGTGTGGTATTGGAGCTATCTTGAGAAGGCTGTGCTTTAATTCATGGCTTTGCTCCTGCTCCGTCCCTCTTCCAAATCCTATGTTGAGTTGGTCAAGAGAAAAGCTGGAAAGTCACGCACAATGAAGAGTAGATATTTGTTTCATTACAGAAAACATCAGCTGCACTGCCAATGAGGCAAAACCAAAAAAGAAAAAAAGCCCACACCCCCCAAAAACCTCAGTCCGAGATGCTCTTTCTTTAAGAAAACCCACTAACAAAATATCAGTCCTTTCAAGAGAAATTCTCCCAACTCTGCTTTTGAAAACTTTCCCCTGCATTCATTCAGAATTTAATGTGTTACAGTTTTATGACAGCTCTCCAGAAACCAGCAGATAATGACAGCGATGGCATTTTTTTTCTTTCAGAGCAAAACATCAGCATTCATTTCTGAAACCTTTGTCCCAGCCCAAGAAACTGATACTAAAACCTCATGCATGAAGTCCTGGGAACGCTACCACTGCAGCTGTCCCCTTTTTCCTCAACTACCAGCCTGGTTTTTACTTAAAGGATAATTGATAGATGGAGTCAAACATCTGGCAGAATATTGCTTTGGTCTTTAAACAGAACTGGGTAGAGCCTGTGAAAGATGGTATCGGAAAATGGGTTATTTAGAATAGATGAAAAAAAACCAAACCCACCACAGGCTATCCAGTCAGGCTGATTCAGAGAGGAGAGATACAGAAGGAAGGATTTTCTGAACTGGAAGCAAATACCACAATATCTTAGAGACTGAGGCTTTGCCACAGACTTCCAACATTACCTTGGGATTTTCAAGCCCCTCTTAATGGCTTTAGTTTATATTTTCTAACAACAGGTCAAAAGTAACTCATGATTGGAGGCAACTGTGAATTTCTGGAAACCTGCCCCTTTTCGACTTCCAAAGTCACGGGAGAACCATAGGAGAGGCACAATTCTGAGCCACAAACCTTTGAACTATTCCAGAAGCACACAATAGCTGGATCTCTCATCAGCTAATGTTTTCAGAATTGGATAGGACCCACCTAGCTTCTATGCCTTGTTTTCTCTCTCCCTGTGGAGAACTAGCTCTAGAGACTATATCAGAGAATGGGAAAAGAAATGACTTATTCAGAAAAAATTGGGGTGGTTATCTGGTCATCAGCCCATTGGAATGGCTAGGAATTGACAAATTTGGAGCAACCCTAGGGCTACCATAAAAGGTAGCAGGTCTAGAGCAGATGTAGACCATCTTTAGAAACAGAAAGTTGCATCTTCTTTCTTTTATTCTTTTCTTCTTACAGCTGCCTTCTCGTCTAGCTGTACTCACTGCATACACAGAGAAAAGCTGGGAATCCAAGCCTTGTGAAACAGGATATCCTTGAAATATCAAAGGGAAAGCCATGGGGCAGGAAGGAGATAACATCATCTGTGTGAGAAAGGCTATGAGACCTCCACATCAGCTACAACAGCACAACAGTTATACTGTGTGCTAGCACTGGGGAGAAACACTAAACTCACTCAAGGTTAATCCCACAGTTGGTTCATAGGTTCTGCCATGAGTTGCTGGAAGGAGTGCCTAATGGCCTGAACATCACCTGGGGACTGACCACTGCTCGTCTGTCAGCTCCTCAATTTCTTTCCTCCTGGCCTCTTCTGGTTCTTTTTTTTTGCTCTCCTCTCCTTCATCTCACCTGAAGGTTCTTAGGTTCATAGATGAGTAGGCAGACAGATTGATAGTTGCTAGATAGATATTTACTCCTAGGTAGAGCTTAGATGCTTCAGATGTAGAGTTATATCTACAGCATGGTCCACAGTTGGCCCTGGATTGTCCCTGGCATTTTCTGTCCTCTGTACTAGTTTGCACATGTCAAAACTTTGCCAAGAAGTGTGCCACCAGCTTAAGAAAGTGGACAATCAGTATTCCAGTGCTTGAAACTGTTTTATTTTGTGTTAAAAGCACAGATTAGAAAGCAAGCACCACTTGCCATGATTTATAGCTGCTATACTGACTGTTGGCATGACTTGAGAGTTGGGACTCAAAGAAGCTCTAGATTAATATGTCTTTTTGATTTGTGTTTTTTTTCCCGTTCTCTCCTCACACTCTCAAGCTTCCAAGATTGCCAGCTCTTCCTTTCTTCTGGGTTTCAGTTGCACTTGTTTTGTTCTGGATTCATTTTCAGCTCCACACTGCACTGCTAATTTTGTCAAATTTCCTCTTTCAGGAAGTCATCAGGAGGTCAAGGTCACCTGTCATACTTTTATATGTGTTTTTTAAAAAATAGACCTCTAATGTGTAATTATCACCTCTCTTTCTCTCTCTCTGTTGACCAGATGAGGACCTAGGTGTCTCAGTGAGACTAGATGCTTCCCCATTTGTCAGCTGAAACTAGATCGATAGGAAGTCCATCCTATGTGTTAGATATTACTGGCTGTCAGTCTATCACGATTGACCCAACTGGTTTTCTGGCAGCTGATTTGAATTGAGGTGGTGGAGGAGAAACAGACAATGCAACATCTCAAGGTCTTTCCCAGCCCAGTCTTCTAGGATACTCTGAACCTCTTCTAGCTAAGAAGACGACTTTTTTGCACCAGACTTGCTTCCCTGCAAGGACTCATTATTATGTTAGCCCCTGAAATGTTACTCTCAGAAGGAGAAGAAAGGTCTGTGGGTGAAGCCATGTGTAACACACCCATCTTTACATGCCCTCCTGCCTCAACTGCGAGTGAAATTCATTGGTTGTGGCAATGTGTATTTATGAAACTGGATTTCTGGTCTCCTCAGCCCCGTAAATTGCTGAAAAGAGAAGAATATGAGCTATTCAAGATGAGAAGATAGGTAGCAATTAAGCATATGAAAATATACACTGCTCCTGCCAGTGGTTTAATGGCTAGCAGGAGGACAAAGGAGACCATAGCCATGCTGGTTTCATTGCTTTGATGGAAACTTGCATTAAGCCAGCAAATGTAAATGCAAATGAAAAAGAAAAAAAAAGCTGCTTCTGTATATTGACAAAAAGGGGTTTCCAAACCCACAGGCCAATGCTTTGGTGAGAGGCGGTTACATCTGATTTTAAATAAAAAAAAAAATTAAAAAAAAAAAAAAGAGAGAAATGTGAGCTATCGGTAGCTATAATGAATTGTGAACCTTTGAACCTTTAGGAGGTGGTGTGAAGGGTGCTCAGGCAATTGGTCTCAGGGAGCAGGTAAGCAGCAGGCAGATGAGTGGCTCAGGGAGGTAGGTGCATTTCTCATCCACCTCAGCTGCTGAGGCCCCAAGGAAAGGACAGAGCTGGGAGTGGGTCTCTGGCCCCCTTCCACTGTCAGCAAGGAGCCCGTGAAAATCCACTATTGCCCTCTGCTGGAGTGAGGGCTGCCAATGGGACCTGGGCTCCAGCCAGTGACAGAGGAGGCAAAGATCCAGGAGAGAGAGGCAGGGAGAGAAAGAAAGAGAAAGCAAAAAGGAGAAAGCAAACAAGAAAACAAAGGGAGCATTAATTAGTCCAAAATGAGAAAATGCATCATTGTTTGAAAGTGTTGGATGAAGAAGGAAATGAATAAGAAATATGAATGGAATGATAAAAATGGAAAGGGAGGGAGAAAGGAGGAGAAGTAAATCCAGCAACACTGAAAGAAGGAAGGAGAGAGGGAAATAAGCAAAGGAGAAGAAAGAAAAAAGAGAGAGGGGGAATAATGAGGAGGAGAAGGAATTGAGAAGGGAAAGATGGAGAAAATCTGGCATGCAGAGTGCATGGCTGAATGGTTGAATGAGTCAGGATCTAGGCAAAAAAAGAGAGCCTTAAAAGAGAGTTTAGATATTAGGAGGGAAACATATACAGAAGAGTAACAGCAGGGCAAGGGGCAGATTCAGGGATTCACAGCTTTAAAGCCAAAGGGATATTTGTGATCACTTGTAGACTGTGTACTATGAAGGGTGTTCATTAAACGATAACAGCCTATTACTGTTGCCTGTGCCCTGAGACGCTCCTCTGTCTCTGCAATGTGTCTGCAACTCCAACAGAGAAAGGCAAACCTGAGTAACCAGTGTGTCTGGGCAAGTCTTCCCTGGGATCCTGCACTGACCCCATTAATTAATGGTAGAACAGGGACCCTATCCCATGGGAATGCTCATGTCAAGGTATTGCTGCTCTAAGGGACTCCCTCTTCGGCGAGAAGTAAAGAGAGGACATGAGGATATGTTCACGAGGATATAGTGGAGAGGAGCTGGCTGTCTTGCAAGGGGAAGGGCTCTGCTTGGGCACACAGGGGAAAGCAGGCAGATATGAAACCACTGGAGGGAATGATTGCATTTCCACATATGAGTTCTGGCCTGGCATTGGTAGCTGATGGCATCCCAAACCTGACTTCTTCAGATGGAATTGGACTGGGTGCTAGAAAAAAGAAAAATCAGAGGATTCTTCTAGACCTACTCCTTGACACTGTTAAATACAGCAATAGATCAGTTATAAGGTTTTTCCATATACCTTCACCTTCCCCCACCAATAGGCTGCATGTTATGTGATTATTCCAGTAGGCTGACATGGCATATCTTGTTACCTGCTAATAGAGGTTCTCCTTTATCTCAGTGGCTCTGTCAGTGCTCTCTAAGCATATAATGCTGGATACAATATCCAGTTAGCTAATGAGCAGAACTGCTATTGAATTCTGTGCCATCCTGAGTGCTCCTGATGAGCTGGAAAGCTCTTAAGACCAACCATTTCTATAAGTTTGTTTGTACTTCCCGATGTTAGCTGAGACGGAAATACCATGAGAAGTGCATTTGACCTCTCCAATTCCATTCCCTGATTGAACCGGAAAATGCAGGGGAGGAGGAACAAAAACATTGCAGATAACAGCAACAACAAGGCTCATCAAACTTGTTCCCAAACTGCAAAATAAAAGGGCCAGGCAGAGTTACTTAGGGGGAAGGTCTAGGCTTGCTTTGACTCTATCTAAGGGAGTGTGGAATGCATTTCTTTTTATATTTTTGTCTTCCAGAATTTAAGGAAGCGTTCTCACTCTTTGACCGGACTCCTAAATCTGAGATGAAAATCACATACGCACAATGCGGAGATGTCTTGAGAGCTTTGGGGCAGAATCCAACCCAGGCTGAGGTCATGAAAGTGCTTGGCAGACCCAAACCAGAAGGTTGGTGTCCTCCTCTGTGTTTGTTTTGAAAAAGATCGCTCCAAGAATTATTTGTGAAGCAGTTGAGGTCTCCATTTTCTGATGGAAAGATTAATTATGAAATAACAAGGGATATGGAACAGCCTCTGCAAATCGATAGCAGAAAAGTAAATGAGGAAAAAAAAAAAATCTTGCAGTCAATATAATTGTCTCAAATATAGGAGAATGAATTAATTTAATGGCCCTGTGCATCAATGTGTTCTACAATGACAAGTTTTTGCTTTTTAAAATTGCTTTGATGACAGGCATTCACTTGTGTTTACTAAAAATGCAGACATTTTGAAGACTTCCAAAGAAACAAAGAGATAGACTGAATGTGAGGACATAGTTTGTTCTACAAAAGCATATATTAGAGGGTCTGTAATGATTGCAGTAATATCTCCCTTCAACGTTCACCATACACTGGATATCTCTTCAGAACAAAGGAAATCTCTCCCAGACCATATCTACATTCAGGCATTTTCCAGATTACTTCTCTGTCCTTTCCTTCCACTGAGGTGGAACTGACAATTAGGCCATCATTCAACAACTGTGGTATGTCAGGATATGGCAATGAGACCGTGCCAGGTGGGACAAGGAGTCATATGGGAACAAAATGCCCTCTGATGCTTTTGAAAGGCAAAGAATCAGGAAAATGGCATACACAGCCCTGCTCCTGTCTATTTGTTCTGAAGCTCTTCTCCCACTGTGGTTTTAAGCATCTCTGTGTTATAGGGCTGCAAAGCAAAGCTGATTTTGTTTTGGCAATGAGCTTCTCTTACTGTCTTCTGCTTAGTTTAGTACTTTTATGTTTCATGCAACAGTCTTGGGAGTCTCACAGTATTTTCTTTCCTTGATGTTTGCATAGGTCAGATACTAGGATCTATCTATCTATCTGTCTATTAAAACCTCATATTTCTCTCTCTGCCAGACCTCTGTCCCCCCCTTTCCATTCTTCCATCTGTACTGATGATATTTCCATGCTCTTTTCTCCCCTTTAACTGGCATTTATTGCCACAGTTCTTCTACCCTCACCACCTGCCCATGGTGGATGCCCCATGATTAGTCCTCAACTCTCCCAGAACCCACCAAAACTTTCATTTCTATCTGTGTCTTTGTAGACATGAACTCCAAGATGATCGACTTTGAGACCTTCCTGCCCATGCTCCAGCATATTGCTAAGACGAAAGACACAGGCACCTACGAGGACTTCGTGGAGGGTCTGCGTGTGTTCGACAAGGAGGGGAATGGAACAGTGATGGGGGCTGAACTCCGCCACGTTTTGGCTACCCTGGGTAAGCTGAACCTTTCCTCATGCGGTTTCATCACTGAGGTCTTTCCCTTACAGCTTGTATCATTCTGGGTAACCTTTATGGAGAAAATGACTGAGCAAGACTTCAGCCATCACATTACCCTCAGTTATAAAGACCAAAAATGTTCTTTAATAATGAAGCTAAAAATCACTGACCTACAGCTCAAGTATTTGTCTTTCCTCCTTCCTCCCTCCCTTCCTCCCTTCCTCCCTTCCTTCCTTCCTTCCTCCCTTCCTCCCTTCCTCCCTTCCTTCCTTCCTTCCTTCCTTCCTTCCTTCCTTCTTTGTTCTGGTGTTTTATTTCTCCAATAAATATTATATTTCTGTCATCATAAAACTATCTAAACTTTGGAAACCCCATCTATTCCTTCAATATTTGTCTCCATTTTTCTGCACCTTCAGAAAAGTTTTAAGATTAAGCACTTCTTTATCAGTCATCCACTTAACAGAAGTGTCTCTGAAATAGAAAACTCCTGTTTTTAAAGTAGGGATCAATATTTCTCCGTCCTCTCAAATTTTAACTGCAGAAGCTCAGTTTTTCACAGAGAGTGACGACAACGGAATGAGTGCAGGACAGAAAATTTGGCTGTAACTTAATGACAGGTTTCCAGTTTGGATTAGAAGGCACTGACATGTTGTCATCTGAATCCAATAAGCATTTCTCAAGATCAGCCTTTTCTACTAGTGTTTGTCTACTATTTTAAAGAAGGATGAGCCTGTACAAAAGAGATTTGATTTAGACTGAAGGATTCCAATGGTGGGTTTTGACCTGGGATATCAATTCAAAAAGCCAAACATTTTATGCCCAGGGATTTTCATTCAATGACACATCCATGTCTATTAATGACACAGGGAATAAGAAAATAAAGCAATGCTATTTTCCTTTTTATCACTGATGCTATCACATCAGTTTGGGGAACAAATTCAGTGATGACAAAAAAAACCTCACAGGGTCAGGATTGTTGCCCGGTCTAACCTTACCTGGGACAACGAAACCACTCTGTGCATTTTTGTGAGTTTCACAGTCCTACAAGAAATACTTTTGCACTTACCCTTCTATTTCCAGTAACCCAGAAAAATGTGGCAACATCTGACTTTCAAGTACTGAAAAGAAATATTTCAATCTTAAGAATTAACAGTTCTGTTAATAGTGGCATATCTAAATACTGGTAAAATCCTCGGCACAGCCAAGTATTCTGTAAATTAGCATGCTTTTCTGTTTAATTTTCAAAAAATCGTTTGAATTTTCACAGGTTCACATCAGCTGAGGACTTGTTCCTGTGTACAGAACTCAGTGATGGAAAAGTGGAAAAACATGAGTAGCAGGGCACACTCAATGCACTTTATTTTATTTTCATTTCTATGATTTCAGGTGGCCAAGAAGGCCGATAGCATCCTGGTTTATATCAGAAATAGTGTGGCCAGCAGGACCAGGGAGGTGATAGTGCCCTTGTACTCAGCACTGGTGAAGCCACACCTCGAATCCTGTGTTCAGTTTTGGGCCCCTCACTCCAAGAAGGACATTGAGGAGCGTGGCCAGAAAAGGGCAACAAAGCTGGTGAAGGGTCTAGAGAACAAGGCTTATGAGGAGTGCTGAGGGAACTGGGGTTGTTTAGCCTGGAGAAAAGGAGGCTGAGGAGAGACCTTATTGCTCTCTGCAACTGCCTGAAAGGAGGTTGTAGCGAGGTGGGGGTCGGTCTCATCTCCCAAGTAACAAGTGATAGGACAAGAGGAAACAGCCTCAAGTTGAGCCAGGGGAGGTTTAGATTAGATATTAGGAAAAACTTCTTCACTGAAAGGGTTGTCAAGCATTGGAACAGGCTGCTTAGGGAAGTGGTTGAGTCACCAACGTTGGAGGTATTTCAAAGACTGGTAGATGTGGTGCTTAGGGACATGGTTTAGTGGTGGACTTGGCAGTGCTGGGTTAATGGTTGGATTCGATGATCTGAAAGGTCTTTTCCAACCTAAATGATTCCATGATTCTATGAAATCCCCCTCAGATTTCTCCCTTACATTTCTGCAACTCATTTGATCTCATCCTAAAATCAGTGCCTAATATCAGAATAAGGAGATGGATTGGGTTGATATCTGCTTAACCAGAATGAAGCTTTACAGGTTAATAGGTCCCTAATTTTAATTAGATAATTAAATTAAATGGAATGGATCACTGATCCAAATCAGAGATCCTAAGTTTGATTTTGGAATCTTCCTGAACCTCAGACTCAGAGACAAACTAGATGGTGATTCTACTATGAATTTACTTAGTGAGCACTTGGTTAAAAAGTGACTAAAGCCTTCAAGTTTTGGCACTTAGAGAAAGCTTATTCTTAGAAGAATGAGTATGTGAACATAATATCATGTGGGTTTCCATATTTATTCTGTCTTTCTGGTTTTCGGATCAAATTTTCTCAGTTTGCAAGTTCAAAAGTAGCTTTCCTAGCAGTCAGCACCACAAATTAAGCTGAAGAGAAATTCTCTCCCTCTTCTCTCTCACTTTCTTTTTTATTCTTGGATTCTCTGAACTGTGCTTTGTACATTCTTTAAAAAAGGGTTCAGGCACTAAACAGGCATTTTGCTTTCCACCCAGGTGAGAGGTTGACTGAAGAGGAAGTTGATAAGCTAATGGCTGGTCAGGAAGATGCCAATGGCTGTATCAACTATGAAGGTAGGTATGACCACTCCGGTCTGAGCAGTGGTTATGTGTTTGAAGGCTTTGTTGCAATTATCCTGAGAAAGTTCAAACCTGTGGAAGATCTGACTCCCAAAGATCTGGATGTGTGCTTTTCCAAATTTTAGACCAATTCAGATTCTATAATTCATCTGGTATACCCTGTCTGTTGAAGCTTACTTGTATTTTCCATAGTTGAATGGCCGTGGCCCTTTCAGGAGGTGAGGCTGTATATTCTTATTTTGTTTGCCTTTTTAAAAAAAAAATTGCATTATTTTTTCTACCTGCTCCCACAGTTCCTTGTCCTTTGAGAAAGAGATACACATCCTTTTGGAGACTTCTTTACAGAAAATCACTATGTTTTCATTAAAAACCTCAATAAAAATTGTTATCCTTAACATCATCTTTGCTGTCCTAAGAATCCTGCAAGACCTTCCAAAGACTTTCCATTTTATTTAATTGTTATTGTAGAAAGCCAGAATAAAAGGATTTGGTCATGAGTAAGTGGACCATGGTTCTCTCCTGCATCTTGCAAGCCTGCATGCTTCAGGCTGTTCAATAAAACCACAATATTCTAACAGGGATAATGAACACATGTTATCGTACACCACTGAGCCCTTCTTAAGGTTCACTGGGGACCGATGATTGTATCATCTTGGTGATTTAGCTGGTCTGTCATATTCACTGAGCCTTTTATGAATATTTGGGTTGGTGGTCTCCTACTTACAAATGCTATGTCAGTGATTTGAGCTCAGGGAAACAGTTCTTATGAGTATTTTATTGGTAGAAATCTGTAGATTTAGCCTACCCAAATGACTCATGAACTTATGCCTTATGAATTCAGGGAAATTCATAGCATGGGGGATTATTGGGAAGGAAAAAATATTTCCTTACTGCAAAATGTATTTTTCCTTTTCCTATTGAATTTCAATATTATATATAATGAATGCTTTTTTAAATGAAGAAAAATGGAACCCAAAACTTTTTGAACAAAAATTTAATTTGACTTCAAAATACCTTGTTTGTTTGTAAACCTGAGTTCACTGGAGAGATATAGTCACAATACCTGACTTGGTGACCTGCTGTGGATTCTGGAGGTTCACTCCAAAGGCACCTTCAGTGCCCCCTGACTTAGTACAAACGTGCTGAAATCTTGAAAGCCTTGCAAGATGAGGACCCAGAGTTTCTCATGGCTGTATACTTTGGAAAGCCAGTTCCATATGGCAGCCAGGGGTAAGGGATTAAGCAAGCTATGGATTGACCGATGTGTGTGTTCATTTCCGCTGGCTACCTAGACTGCTGGCTACACTTCCCTGTATATATGCTATCTTAAGGACTTACAAAGCATTTAGCACTTGGTGTCTGGTATCTTATTTAAAAAGTGGTGTGGTCTTCATTGCATCAGAAGAAGCAAGAAGAGTGAATTTAAATAACAACCAAGCTGAGATACCCAGGATGTTTCTGAATTCAATGAAAGGGAATTGATAAATTACTCTTCTCTTTCTCTTGTTTCCAGCTTTTGTGAAACATATCATGGCTAACTGAACACCAGGTGAGTCTCTTCTGTCCTCCTTACATATCCTATTATTTTGGTTTTGGCATCTGAGAGGGGCTTGAAGAATGTGTAAGTGACTAATCAAAGAGAGTGAATATTTTCAGCATGCTGTACGAGTAAGTAGGACATGAATGAGTAAAATGTTACCTTCATCCTATCAAGTGCACAGAAAATTGGTGACCTTTCTGCAATTGTCCGGTAAATCTGGATGCCTTTATTTTAGAAGTCCAACATAATATATCCTAAGAGGATTTGATTTCCAAAGGGCAAGTGCTCATTCCTTTCTGATTGAATGGAAACTTCAAAGGATGCACATTTTTCATGTCCACTTACAAGTCTCACTCCTAGACTTCTCCTAAAAAGGCGAGGAGATAGAACTGAGCTGACTGGAGAAAGGATGGGCAAAAAATCCAAGGAAAAGTAGATAAGAAGGAATAATGCAGGCTTATGTTGCTGAATCAACACTTGGAGGCTAATTATTGGCTTTCCCTAAATATGTCTCCCAACATCTCCTGGCAATTGGGCTGGTTTTCCAGCAAAAGACATGATCTTTTTCCAGCACATCTGCTGGCTTTATTCAGTAGTGTTCTCGAAACCACAGTACCATTAAGGGTATCTCTGTCTCGCCATTGCAAATGAGCTGAACTTTATTTCCAGTATTTCCTGGTCTTTGTTTATTTTTTTATTCCTGGAAAAGGTGCCCACCCTTTTCAACTGGCATTCACCATTATTTATCTCTGTTCAGCTCTTGGGGAAGGTCTGACCTGAGAGTTAACCAAGTCCATCTATTCTGCAAAGGATCTGATAAACTGGGAAAAGCAGTGGCTTCTTTCAGATTTGTTCTGGTTGTTTTGGGTTTTGTTTGGATGGGTATTTTTTTTCTGCTTTGGTTTATTTTTCTACTCTGTCCTGACCAGGCTTGGCTTTGTTTTGCTTTTGGAGCTGACATCATCCCAGCCCGAGACCTGTCTGTTGTGTGGTGACTTTTGATTATGTTCACTGGCACCCCAGGGAGGGACTTAAGTAGGAGTCACATCCAGGTTTTGAGGACTTTTGTTCCAAGACGTAATTGAACAAAACGTAAACTGACTAAAAAAGATGACTGGGCTTATTTTCTTATTATGGCCCAGCTTTCTTTCTTAAAGGCATTTATCTTCTCTGAACATACACTCAGTTTTCCAGCACTGGCTCCCAGTTTTCAATTCCAAAGATCTGGACGGGCCCACAGCCATAGTGGGTAATCCCACAGCTAGCATGTTCCTTACTTGTTGTTTAGAGATGTTTCCAATCCTTAATGCTATCTTAAATCCACTGCCATGGGAAATTCCCATTCCAATGCCAAAAGTCTTTCTAGTCACCTGAAGCAATGTCCGCCACTGAAGAAGACAAGCGAGCAGTGGCAAGCTGTAAAGCTGACACAGGGCTGGGAGCTGCAGCATAGGGGCCAGCAAGAGTGTCTTTGCTTATTATGCGTTTGGAAAGGGAGCTGAGAGCTCCTGACTCACAGAGAACCTACATGCCACTGATTTGCCAATGAGCCATGATGGGTGTCATTCAGGGGTGGCATCTTCCACTCCCTGCCATGTTG